ATATATATATATATACTACGTAGAACATAGTTCCGGCCTGCAAATACCTGCCAAAATATAAGCGGCCGTTTGCTGACTCACCAGCCATGACCTGGTCAAACAACTCAGTCTGTCTCCATAATGATCGTGTGAACTACCGTGATATCAGTGGTTCCCAGCCAAGGGATTCCTCCGTTTTGATCGATTTTTATTTTTGAGATTATTATGGATCTGAAGGCTTAAGCCATCATGTTCACTGTCGCCTCATTGCACCTTGTGCTAGAAGGTAAGATATCCATGTTTATCGACTGCCTGTTAATTGTCGTTGTCTTGCTGATTACAGCAGTCCACTTCAAAAGGATACTATTCTCTCAAATAGGACCACTTGGGTACGGTTCTTTCAGACATAGCTCGTGGTTGATGTTTCCAGAGACCCCATTCCTAATCCACTCCAAAGACCAAACACGTCACTCAGAGGAGAATTACCCTCCCCACAATGGTCAGAATGGCAAACCCAAGAAGTGGGTTCACCTGTCGTCCGGCTAATTCCACGGAAGCTTGAGGTGGCCAGAAACCACAAAATATGAGTTTTACCCATTGTCATGTCACAGTGGTCTTCGTTTAGAGACCGAGAAAAGCTTTTTCCGAGTAGGTCCAAAATATCATTGGAGGCTCAAATTAACGTGGCTTAACGGCCACCGTCATCTAAATCCAATCTATTTAGGGTGAGAAGGAGGTTGCAATTTCATCTGAAAAGACGTAGACGTACCGTTGTATCCCACGCCAGCAGACGAACTTATTTGTCAACATCGTTCAGACAAGTACATTGATCTCTGAACATTTCACCACTCCCTAATTTATCTCTAATATTTCACCCCTCCACAAAGAAATTTTACCGAATTCTAAGTTTGTGGACAGTTTTCAGCAGAATTGCAGTGTTCTTCAAATCTTCGTAAAATCCTTTCTCCCCCATGGAACTATCCATGAAACATTCTGGTCAGTTCTTTAGGGACGCTTCCAACGGACAGATTCCTCTCAACAGTAATCACCATCTAAGAGGAAGCGACCGTTGAGTAGTCTTTTCAGACAGTCATTCCAAAACAGGATAGCAGTAAGTGGGTAAATTTGTCATCCAGGAGACAGAACATTCGGGTCACTGACCAATCAGGTCTCCATTTAGTAGTAAGAGCTGGAGGATAAGTTTCTCTGCATCTGCATGCTCCCTACTTGGGCAACCGGCGGCCTGTTCGATTCAGCACCCTCTTAAATACTGCTTCAACATTCTACACTATGTTGCGACCGTCAATCTGGATCTCTAAATGTGTAACGTATTAAGAGGACTATCCGGTAATTGGGCAGCCTGTGAAATACGACGGACCTGTGCCATTTGACAGAAAGCCAATGAACACACGTATTGCAATAGCCCTTAATAAGGCATAAATACCAAGCAACTTGGTGGACAATGACTAAGCACACGAGGCAAAATGCAATAAAGCTTTTCATCCAGAATTTCCTCATTGTTTTCTCCGGAGAAATCACTCTTGTTTTGGTAAAAAAAATCACTGAGCGTTTGCAGCACCGAGCCTAAAAATTAAGACTAAGGCACTGAGTACGATTATTGAAGTTTGAAACCCTGGACAGTTTCGGAGTAGTTCAGTTTAGCCCAGTCCACGAATTTTCACCAAGCTCATAGCTTATTTGAATAGCGAATTGTATGTTGTGATGCATGTATGTATGTTGTGATAACTACTCATTTGCCGATGTTGGCCAGTCGTCCATCAGTCGTCTGTGGCATTCTTTAACCGAATAGGCTGCATAGAGGCTAGCTCACTCATCAGAATCAGCTGAACGGAAACCCACATAAGAGACGTGTTCTTTATATTTGCTCCTGGGATTTTGTATTATTTACCAACGGTCAAATGCAAGTACCATCAAACTCACCCATTAAAGATTGCTGATGGTAGATCGTTGTCGTTTCAAGTTCTGCACAGTGACAAAATGTTTTATTTCTTGAAAAATTGTTACAACTCCCCAAATGTGTTTACCTCGATATTAGTAAGAACCGATTCCAATCATAAGGAAACTGTTTGCAAAAGTATAATTATATATGACGCCTGGTCACGGAATTAACGCGAAAGTTTCAAGAGGCAGCGTGGCACTCGGTCATCTTGAAAAACTCATCCAGAGAAAACATAACTTGTTCATAGACAGCAATAATGCAGTATGCCGGGGTGTTGTGTTACCTACGGCCACCAGATCTGAGCACTAAACAGACTGCATTTTGACGAATTTCAACCGTACTGTCCACGTCCTTCGATTTAAACAGGAAGACTGATTCCCGAAAAATGACGTCCTCTGAAGAGCAAATACTGCTGTAGTAGAATGAAATCTGGTGCGAAACAAGCTCCACCGGTTAGGGTATCACGATTAGTCGAAGCCTGCATCTCGCACCCCTTTATCTACGATCAAGTGAAAAGTGTAACTCGAAATCGGGGACACCTGAAATTCTGCTGAGGAAAACCTTCAGATAAGTTTAAAAACTGTAACTTCCACTTAAGATCATTGGCAAGGCTTACGCTCGACAGAGCATCCTCAAGAACAGTCACTGTGTTGCGAAGAAAAGCGGGCCAAACAGAAAAGGCTCAGTCTCCCCCTAATTCTACAGAGAATTTTACTTCCTGTTCCTAAATTTTCGTACTGCGATTTCCTGTAAGTGAGAGTTCTGTGACATACGAATGTGTTCGACAGTAATGTCGCGAACCTGTTATTTTAATGAATACATGGCACATCTATGATCGATACGCGCTACATCATCAGTGTGCTCGTATCATCTGAGCAAGTAAGCACTAAAATATTACCTTATAGAGACCACGTGCGAGAGTATACGGTAATTCTTCTAAAGTACTGTATCTGACTGGCAACTGTACTCCAGATACACTAGAAATCTGAATGGTTAGCATTCCGCTGAGGTTTCTAGTTCCAGAAGTTACACCCTAACGCCTGCGAGGGGCAGTAACCAACGTTTTGGTACGCAGTTAACCAGCTCGTAGTACACACGATAGTTGCGGGTTTTACTGAGTAGATGTCACCGAGTCGTGGATTTTCGCTTCAACGAGTACACCCAGAAAACGAAGTGGCTGTCTATTTGCAAATATGTACAGGAGACGGACCAAAATCGTCCACGAAAACGAAAGTTAAATGTTCAGGTCATCATCCGGATCCTCATCATCAAAATCGTCGAAACAGTCAGGTTGATAATGAATTTGAACGTCGTCAACCGGATGACTAGAGCTGAGTTCAGTTTGTGCGAATTCGTACGGTAAGGCCACCTGAGCGCGTGCAATACGTTCACTGTCTGTTACTTGCAGAGCAAACGAGGCTTCAGGCTGTTGTTGCGTAGTTGGTTGATCTAGATCATTTACCACACGGTGAAATCCAACAAACTCCAGGAGATTAACGTCAATATCGACTACTAATTGCTCAAATAGAGCTGGTTTATTAACGATAGACGGTTGTTCATCAGCTAGGTGAGAAAACGCATATTGGGCTGATCGCTTGTGGAAAACAGTGAGAGGTAGTTGCACGCAGCATTCGTTGCGGCCAGAGGTAACAGAGTCGGGCTTCCCACACCGAAGGATAGATGTGGCACACTGCTCCAAAGTTGTACAAATATCTGAAGAGTATGAAAGAAACGCGCCGGTGGTACTCCGAATGGGATTGAAAACAACAGTCAGTCGCTTTACCATGGGATGGATTGCCAGGTCAAACATAAGAGAGATTACGTGGCGGGTGTAAAACCCAAATTCGAAATCATTAGGACAGTCAAGAAAGAACCAAGGAATACATTCAATAAATAGACACACCAGTTGTGAGTCATCCCTGTTGGAAACAATATCACGAAGCTTCTTGAAAGCTCCCTCCGAACTGTCGATATCATCAGTGTGCAAGAAATAAAGATTGGGGCAGTCACCCTTTAAACAGCTGTAACTGAGTTCTCCTGAAGTGACTACGACGCAGGGACGATGTTGCATCTGTTTGTGAATTAGAGTGTTCCACAATGGTGTAATGGATCCAGGATGGCTGTTTCCTATCAGTGCCACGAATCGGGAAGATATTTTGTCGCTCAACAGATCTGGAGTGTGTAGCTTGTGCATCATGCCTACAAAGACAAAATCGATTTCGAGAGTAAATGAATGCACGAATTGGGATGAATTCAAACCGTACTATTTTAGAAACAAGAGCTGCTGTTCCATGTTGGTTGCGGTTAACTAGAACAGTACGACCAAGTTTATACAGGCGATAGTAGCAAGTCGAAAAAATTAGAGCGCATCGTATTCAAAATGCATGTATCGATGGAAATTCAAACATCCGGACGCAAAATTACCAACCAGCGGTTGGCTGCTGAAACCATTTGTTCGATTTATCGAATCTCATTCCTGTGCTGAACCAGCCAGTGGAGTGACCGTTTGACCAATAAAGCGACTGAGTGTGGTAAGTTGGTCTGTATGCAGGATTCCGCTTAACGCAGTCCAAAACCCAACACGAGTCCATACTTTCGAACTGTGATGTTTCAGTTTGGTACGCTATCTCTAAGGCGACAAAATTTCATGTAGAGGTCATCAAGGAGTGATGCTGATAGACAATTCCGCCAATTCACTCGGCAAAGGTACGAGATACTATAACACGACCCAGCCAATTGGCTTTCGTCTCAAAAGTCGTGTTGACCAGAAACATGATGGATTGAGAAATCGGTCTAATTTCCTGCAGAAAATCACTGCCTACTTTAGTAACTTAAGCTACTTTTGACTCCATCCATCACGGGTCGGGGCATCTTGCTTTCTGGTGGTCTCTCAGCAAAGCCAATTAAATGGCAAAGCGTCTATGGCAACGGTCCGCCACAAAGAGACTGGACATTATCATGGGGTTTATGTGTCATGACGGTTTATGTGTCTTCCTGACCCTGGGTGGCGTCCGTACGTGTGGTTGACTGCGTGGAAGCACGATGAGCTAACAACACCATTGGCAAGTTCACTTCCCAGTCACCTCCTTTGGCCGCAAGCAAACGGTCCGCCACAAAGAGACTGGACATTATCATGGGGTGACGGTTTATGTGTCTTCCTGACCCTGGGTGGCGTCCGTACGATACGCACAGGGCCTCTCATACAACGTTGGTCAGTGATTAGAGGTCTGATCAGCACACTCTACTGGCCCTCCATGTTGGAGTTTGGAACACGTATGGCGACTAGTCCAATAAAAATGCGACACACTCACGTTTCCCGTCAAATACTGCTGCTTGGGGTCAGGCCTTCAGACTAAGGGCTTTGGTTGGGGAACCCAGTCGTCCTCCTGTCTAGGTGAGGACAGCGTGGAAGCATCCAAGCCCAGGCACAACCATGATACTTACCACACAAAAAAATAATCCTATGCTATACCGGACTTGCTGCGTACTTAAGGGTGGATGAGCAAAAACAGGCTACTGATGATGCCTCCCTTCGGATACTTTCATTTTTTCCCTCTTCTACCCTACATGACCCAAATTTGGATACTCTCCGCAGGTCCGAGAGCAAGGGCTGACCACTTTCTTCCCGGTGCATCACACTAGGCAACCGCTTCTGTAGATCCACGTCAGTGACAACCTTAGACACTTTGAAATCTATTTTCAAACAACAAAAACAGGTCCACTTAGCCGCCTTTAATGTTCGCACACTGAAGCAAGCAGGAGAATATGTGGCTCTTACTCATATGCTGGATTCCATCTTCATTGGTGTACGCTGTGTATTAGAAACAAAGACACAGGTCACAAGTACTGTAATTGAACTGACTTCCGCCTCTCTGTGAGAATCTGAAGAAAGTGAGGCCCATCGCAACCTGTTTATTGTGCCAGCATATTCCACAACGGACTGTAGCTCTGAATCTGCCAATGACAGTTTCTATAACGCTCTTGGTGCTGTTTTACAACGGCTTAAAAGCACAGATATCCTTGTGGTTGGTGGTGACATGAACGCCCAGATAGGTAGACTAAGCGCTGTTGAGGCCTGATCGGGTGGACGTCTTGGGTTGGACACGAGACTCACGAACAACGGAAATCGTCCACTTCAGATGTGGCTGAGCACAGACTGTTACTTTCCAGTACTCATTTCTGGTACAGCAGAAATAGTTTGGCAACGTGGTGCCCACAGAAGAACCAGTGGCGAATCCAAACCGACCACATCGCCATCAGTTATCGGTACCGAGGGCGACCACCGCTTGCCGCTCCTCCTAGAACACCAGCGCAGACTCCGTCCATGCAATTGCACGCTGACTTTTCGTTGCGCTTCCCAGGTCCTCGCAAAACGCGCACACCTCGCCTAGCCAGAAGTCAAGCGAAATCATGAGAACCAGCTCCCCAAATATCTGCCGGACGGTATGATGTCGGATATAAACGTTCATTCATTAAGGATATCCAAAGCACTGCTCAAAGCCGGAACGTCTGTCTGCGGTACAACCCAGACGGTCTCACCCAAACATTGGATCTCTGATAGGACTGTGTCTTTGCTGAAAACCCGGCGACAGATTCCTTCCGACCGCAACACAACTCCACTCGACGCATCATCCGACGCCAGGTGAAACTGAGTATCCGTGTAGACCAAGAAGCTTGGTGGACCTGAAAGGCCGAAAAAATGGAAGTTGCGAAGAATGCTGGAGACGTCCGCAAGCTGTTCCACTTGATTCGTTCGACTGGTCCTCGGAAACCTCTTGTCAGCGAAATAATCAACACCCAAATGGCTCCCTGATGTGTAGCAAAGCAGAAGGTTTTGACCGCTGGGCACAGTACTTCAAACATCAATTCAGCTGGCCATTTGCCTACATCCAACCAGAATCCTGGCTTAAAACAGAAAGTTGAATACGGAGCCTCTTCAATCTCAGGGGTGTCGCAGTATGCATCCCCACTCAACCGATGTCCTGCTGGTGGTCCCGACGACCTTCCACCTGCTCTTTTCAATTATGGCGGTGGGCTTCTCATCCAGTGCCTGTCTAGCCTATTTGGGAGAAGAAGACCGTCCAAACAACGGTTGAATCCATAGTAGTGCTCGTTTTCAGTGAGTGTAGTGAGCAGTGAGTGTAGTAACCGCAGGTGTTAGTTTGAATCCTGTCGTGACAAGGCTTCTGGTGTCACTGACACGTGAAACGACTCGTGAGAATCAAGCGGGATTTCGATCGCGTAGTGGCTGCGTTGATCGCATCCTTACGCACCATCAGGTGTTGGAGCAACGCCGCATGTGCGGACGACCCAGAATCCTGTTGATCACTCAGTCTTGTTAACTACGCTTACTCAACAGGGTACGCCTCGATCCCTATGTCCGCGTACTGCTGGACGGGTGAGAGTTCATGGTGGACTCTCCAAAAGTTTCCCCGCAAAAAGCGGTGTCCGACAAGGATATCCACTCTCCCCATCCTTGTACAACGTCATCATTGGTGAAATAATGAGGCGAACGCTGGAAGGTCTTCAAAACCCCGGTGTTCAGATTTTAGCTGGCGAGTCCTGTCGATATGGAGTACGCAGACGACATCGTCCTCATCTTTGAAGATCAAAACGAAGCACAAGCTCCGTAAAATAGACTGACCACCATCATACCATCTTTTTGCGTGCGTCTTGCACCTTCAACGTGCACAGTCCTGCTTCAGCACGTGCAGTCTCCGAACATATCCATTAAAAATCAAGGAGAATCACTAAAGATTGTGGAAAATTTTACGTATCCCGCTAGTTGTATTAGCTCTGGTGGAAGTGTGTCTGATGAATTTAGTGCACGGACCTCAGAGGCTCGAATCCTGTTTGCCAATTCTCGTCACTTGTGATGTCAAAAAGGCATATCACTAGATTTTAAGGGTCGCGGTACCAGGCTACATTAAGGGTTGTGTTGTTGTATGGATGCGAGGTATGGCTTCTGCGGACGATGTGGGGCCTCTTCAGGTTTTCCACCACCGACGCTTCAGAAGCGTGGCTGGTTTTGGATGACGTCAGCATGTTAATGACGAGGTGATTAGAAAACGGGAATCCGGTTGTGCGGCTGGTATTTCAGTTGGGGAAAATATCCAGCACCACCGACTACGATGGCTCGGTCATGCGCTACGCATGGCGAAACACCGTCGCCATTTCGCCAGAAGGAAGAACGAGGGATAGGATACTGCCCAAGCCTAGATAGGGGTAGTCTAGAGGCAGAAGTCGGGTTCGGACAACGGACCTTCCGGCCAATGGATTCACGCTCTAACCACTAAGCCATCTTGCAGGCAGGTTCATTTTGTTCCATTTAGAACAACTTTGTCAGATGGGTCACCAGGGATTCACCGCCTTCTTCGAAGAGAGCTCGATACAGACCGTCTGGTCCTGGTGTCTTCGCACTTCGCACTTTATTTCTTCCGACGATGATTAAGGTTGGTATAAAGTGCCCCCAGGGGCTGGGTTGCAGGAGGCCAGCTAAACTGCTCTTCGAAGGATTCGGCCTGTCATTCCAGTTCGCGTTTTTGCGATTGAATTAATGAGCCGCCTTTTTCACTTGGCGTTTGATTGACCACTGCTCTCCTAGAGGCAGTCGATCGTATCGTGGTATAGGGCATGGATGTTTCCGGTGGCAAAGGCTTTCCCCATCTCCCAAATTTCGGTGTTCACCAGAACTCTCGGTCTTTCCTTGAGCTCTCCACTATTGGGCGTTTAAGGGATTTGCGCGCGCCGTCGTACTCAGTGCCTGCAGGTATGGATTTTCTGGCATCAATCATGGATAGCGATCTCGACGACACCCAGTGTCCTTTGCAGGAGGCAGCTAGACTGCTCTTCGAAGGATTCGGCCTGTCATTCCAGTTCGCGTTTTTGCGATTGAATTAATGAGCCGCCTTTTTCACTTGGCGTTTGATTGACCACTGCTCTCCTAGAGGCAGTCGATCGTATCGTGGTATAGGGCATGGATGTTTCCGGTGGCAAAGGCTTTCCCCATCTCCCAAATTTCGGTGTTCACCAGAACTCTCGGTCTTTCCTTGAGCTCTCCACTATTGGGCGTTTAAGGGATTTGCGCGCGCCGTCGTACTCAGTGCCTGCAGGTATGGATTTTCTGGCATCAATCATGGATAAAGGCTTTCTCTCCCAAATTTCGGTGTTCACCAGAACTCTCGGTCTTTCCTTGAG